TATTAACAAAAATTTTAAACCGCCTCCAATCTACTTGCGTGAACGCAGCTCAAATAACCTCGTTACAATCCTTGCAAGTCTGATTGGAAACAATACTTTTCATATTGTTCCTATAACTAGGGGCAATATACACGAAACCAAAATCCAAATCGACACTGAAAACAATTTTAGAGTCATAACCAAATATTTCGAAGACAGCAAAAAAAATTACTACACATACCAACTAAAGAGTAGTAAGGGCCTTGTTATCGTAATTAAAGGTATCGAATCAGATGTAGAACCCATTGAGATAACAAATGTCCTAAGCGAAAAAGGCTTTAGCGCTAGAGCAGTAATAAATATTGTTAACAAAGATAAAATCCCACAACCTATGTTTAAAGTTGAACTTCACCCGGAAGTTTCTAAGCTTAAAAAAAATGAGAGCCATCCCATCTACAACCTACAGTATTTACTTCACCGCAGAATTAGCGTTGAGGAGCCCCACAAAAGAAATGGTTCGGTGCAATGCACAAACTGCCAAGAGTATGGCCATACTAAGTCATATTGCACTCTTCGTACAGTGTGCGTAGCTTGTGGCGAGCTTCACCATAGTTCCGAATGCGATAAAAAAGCATTAAAGGATACCAACTCCAAAAAATGTAGCAACTGCAGTGGAAATCACACTGCAAACTACAGAGGCTGTCCTATTTATAAAGAACTAAAGCACAGGTTAGCTCTGCAGAAAGAAGCGTTGCGTAATTCTACAAGAAGCAACACCATTAAATTAGTTGAAGTACCTCAACCTTTAACTTCTAAGCCTGTTACACCAGGTGTTTCATATGCTAATGTCGTTAAATCTGACAAGCAACAAGCCCCTCCAGTTCAAAGTAATAGTTTGGAAATAATGATCTCCACTCACTCAGAGCTTAACTCAGTTCATGTCAATCATGCAAACTACTCTTAACGAGATAGTTAAAATGCAAAGCCAATTAATGCAAATGTTTTTATCTAAATAATGAGTACTTTAAAAACTTGTACATGGAATGCAAACGGCTTAAGCCAACTTAAACTTGAACTCACAAATTTCATGTCCCGAGAAAGTGTGGATGTAAAGCTTTGCTCAGAAACACATCTAACTAACAAAAATTTCTTTTCTATTCCTGGTTATTTATTCTATAAAACCAATCACCCAGATGACAAAGCACATGGTGGTACAGGTATTTTGATACGAAGGTGTCTAAAACACTATTTTCTAGGTACATATGCTCATAATTATATGCAAGCCACATCAATACACCTTAAGCACACAGGAAAAAATTTAACTTTATCGGCAGTTTACTGCCCTCCTCGCTTCAACATTACTGAGACCCAATTTACGGATTACTTTTTAACTCTAGGTGAAAGATTTCTTGCGGCGGGAGACCACAACGCCAAGCACACGTATTGGGGTTCACGACTCTGTAATCCAAAAGGAAAACAGCTCTGCAATTCAATTGTAAATAGAAAAAATTCACTAGACGTAATCTCTCCTGGGCAGCCAACATATTGGCCTGCTGATAACAATAAAATACCAGACCTAATAGACTTCGCCGTATCCAAAGGCATAAGCAAAAATTTTATCTCAACATACACTAGCTGCGATTTGTCTTCTGACCATTCTCCAGTTACATTTTGCTTACGTGATGGTCCTCAGTTACGAGACTGTTCCTATAGCCTTACAAGTCCTAAAACAAACTGGCTCAAATATAAAAAGTATATTAACTCACACATACACACAAATTACAAGATAAAGTGTAAGTCTCATATTGAGGACGCAACCTCGGTTTTAAACTCAATTCTGATTTCAGCAGCAGAAAACTCCACCCCTAAAGGCAATAAAATTTACAGATTCAATAGAGTTCTTACAAATAGTGACATAGAGAATTTAGTTTTACAAAAACGTAGATTAAGGCGTGAATGGCAAAAATCTAGGTCCCCTTTAGCGCAAAACTTATTTAAGGAAGCCCAAAGAAGACTTAGATCTGCATTAAGCAAGGAAGACAAAGTCAGACAATATAATTATATTCAAAACCTATGTCCAAATGGCAAAAACCATTCATCTTTGTGGAATGCTAGCAAAGGTATAAATCCTCCCATAGACTCCAATTCTCCAATATGAAACTCTCTTGGAAACTGGGCGCGAAGTGATGAAGAAAAATCTAACGTTTTTGCTGATTACCTAAAAGAGGTGTTCCAACCAAATCCTGCAGCAGGACAATATGACTTTCCCACTCAAGATCCACCAGCACCATCTATTGACATGAATATCACGGCCAATGATCTTGTTCAAATAATCACAAATAAGTTAGATTGCAAAAAAGCACCGGGATATGATAATATCTCACCCATCATGATAAAAAACTTACCCCTTTTGGCCATAAATTTTATCACAAGACTTTTTAATGCCATAATTAAATTTGGCTTTTATCCAACAGAGTGGAAAACATCCATGATTATTATAATTCATAAATCAGGTAAAGACCCCACGCTTGCCTGTTCATACAGGCCAATAAGCTTACTGCCATGCCTTTCTAAAACCATGCTAAAACCGTTCCTTGACGTTCAAAACTTAATACCGTCCCACCAGTTTGGTTTTAGGGAAAAACATGGAACTATTGAGCAAGTGAATCGTATAACGAATGAAATAAGACACGCATTTGAGCTCAGAGAATATTGTTCAGCGGTATTCCTTGATGTTAAACAAGCATTTGATAAAGTATGGCATAATGGACTCATATATAAGATACGCTATTCATTACCTGCAAATGTCCACTCAGTTCTAGAATCGTATCTGCATAATAGAAGCTTTAAAGTGAAATGCAAATCATATACTTCTAATAATTTCCCAATAGAAGCTGGCGTTCCACAAGGAAGTGTTCTTGGCCCTATATTGTATGTACTTTACACATCTGATATCCCGATAAGTAGTTCAGTTATCACCACAACGTTTGCCGATGATACGGCAATTTTATGCCGAAACAGAAACGCTGTGCTAGCTTCAAACCAACTTCAATCTCACTTATATCGGGTGGAGAAATGGTTGTCAAAATGGCGAATTAAAATTAACGAACTAAAATATAGACACGTCATTTTCACCTTAAATCGGAGTACATCTCCAACAATTTTACTAAACAACATTCCCATACCACAAGCAGATAATATAACGTACTTAGGTATCCACCTAGACAGACGACTAACTTGGCGCAAACATATTGAAGCCAAAAAAAATTCAGATGAAGCTCCAAGCCTCTAAGTTGCATTGGCTCATTAATAGCAGATCTTCGCTGTGCCTAGAGTATAAAGTAACCTTGTATAACAGCATCATTAAACCAATATGGACTTATGGTATCCAGCTATTTGGCAATGCTAGTGCTTCAAATATTGAAATTATACAAAGAGCTCAGTCAAAAATACTAAGAATTATCACTGATGCCCCATGGTGTATTAGGAATGAAAGTATACACCGAGATCTACAAATTCCCCTAGTTAAAGCTGAATTTGACAATATAAGAAAAAAATACAATAAAAGGCTGACAGAGCATGTTAATCTCTTAGCAAGAAATCTCGCACTTCTATCCATTACTTCCCGCCTAAAAAGAGCTGACCGTCCATCCGTTAATTAATATTCAACAGCTTGAAGTAAAAACCGCACCTTTCTTTTTAGTAATCTGTTAAAGTTGAACCACTTTCTTAAGAAACCACCTAACATTCACTCTAATGAAATTTAACCCATTAATCTAAGTGAGGTTCGTGATATAAGGTTTACTTATTTTATTTTATTTTATACAATGTATAATTAAAATAAAAATTTGTAACATTATGTAATTAGTTATCAGATTTTACAACTAACAGTTGTAATAGACTAACAGTCTCATTTTAAGAGAAGATGCAATAAATAAATGTATGTTTAAAAAAAAAAAAAAAAAAAAATATTTCTAAGCAGTTTCTTCCATATTTTATTTATATTTTAATATTTTAAGGTCATTAATTAGATAATTTCGTTTTGTAAAATAATTACCATTAAATAAAAATATATTCATCGCCTTTAAAGTAGGGCCAATCGAGTGCAACACACTATACCAGCGTTTAATTCAATCCTCCATACATTTCCCATAGGCTGGAGTATAGACTTTAATACCAATAAATTTTTCTTAACAGCTGGTGCTTGCACGATCATATTCGTATATTGTATAGTCAGAATGATTTGTTTACTTCTAAGACGGGAATTTCCACCCTATAGTTATAAACGAAGTACTTTATAGTTACTAAAGAAGTATCTGCGAAGTTGTTTGTTATATAGGCTGCTACATTATACTAACGTTATTTGGAACACAAGTTTTTGGTGTAGATTCCTATATATATACATGACAATAGTAGTTTAGATAACTATAATTAGATTATTATAATTAAAAGTGCTAACTCGCAGTAATAGAAAGATGGTTGCAATATTTGTTCAGTTAAGTCATTGGAAAAATTCTTCTGGCCTCAAAACAAAAAAACAAAAAATGGAAAAATATTTTAATTGTATAGTTTCATGTTCACCTGGGCACTTTTATTCTTTGATAGCTGGGGGGTTTCTGCAGACTCCCACTCTATTCACTTACTAAATTATGTATTCCTCAAAAGCTTCGTGATTATTGGATGACTGTTCTAAGATCTGCGTACTGCCCCGTGCGACTAGAGATTATTGCTTTTTAGAATAGCATCAGGAATCTGTCCCTTATGTATTTTTTGATCGGGTGTATTCTAAGGAATCTTAGCATGTCATTTGTGCGAATGTATCAAGGCACTTTGAAGTGTTTTCGGAGAGCCTGACTTTGAGCAACTTGTAGGTTCTGGATAGTAGAGTTGGCAGCTTTACCTATATACGACACACCA